ACAACTTGCCCCTTAGTTCCCTCCCTCCCCTACTCCCCTGGTTTCCAGTAAAAATTACCCTTGGCCTGGGCTTGAATTTTTTTTTTAATGGAAAGGGGGTACATTTGGGCAAGAATGGTTATTCTGTACTAGATTCATGGAATTCTCTAAGTGTCCAGGAGTTTTGGTTTAAAGCACCGGCAAGAGCTCACTACCTTTGGAAACTTTAGGGTGGCCAAATGATTATCAAGCATTGTAGCATCTCTCTGCCAGCCTCTCACCCTTAGAAAGGTGGCAGAATGACAGCGTAAATACCCAGGGAAATGCGTTTCACCTCAGTACTATTTTCCACTGGGCATCCATGACATACAGTATGGTCTGCCAGGGCTGCAGGCAGAGGTCAATAAGCAAAGAGAAACCACAGACCGTCTGTACAGGGACTCAGAAGCCTTCTAAACCTAAGTTTTGCCAAAGGTTATTAACTCCAGGACCAGCCTAGAGGAAGAAATTGAAATTCCAAGAGGTGGGAAAGGTCATCTGAATGACTAATTGAAAAACAAGTATCAATCTTCCTTACAGTCTTCATTTAGTTAGATATTTCTGTGAGCTAGCCTCAAAAAAACTCTACTATTGAACCGGAAAGCCATTATTTGGAACAGGAAATGTCCCTGGGTATAAGCATCCTAAGGAATTATGACCTGACTATATCAAGATCTGATTTCTTTTTTTATTAAAAGCTAAGAGGTAAAGAACTGCGGGCTTAACTAAGGCCCCTCAAAGTCCAGAAGATACTGCCCTCCCAAAGACATGTTTCTTTAAAACAAATACGCCTTTCCAGATGTTACAGGTAGATAACTGATTGGGTCTCGCAGATTAGTAAATAGCTGCACATGTGCATATAGTCCAGCAAACACACCAAGAAGGGACAGCGCTGAACCAGAAAGACAGTGGGGCTTCCTCTCTAAAGGGAACTGCAAAAAGTAAAGGGCCCCGGCTTCAAGCAGTTGGTATCCAAGATGGGGAAAACACAAATGGATTCAATCTCTGGGATACTGCTGCTAACATACTAAGCCCCTTCATCATTGCCTTGATTCAAAGCGGGCCCTCTGAAAAATGGCCAAATTAGGGCTGCTGGGTGTGAAACCCACATATCTAGCAGGCTGCACAGAAATGGAAATGAAGGACTTTAACTAATGGGGTTTGAACTAGGTCTGAGAGTCCCAAAGGGCTAGAAATCCAAACAGCAAAAAACCCAAAGACTATTTATTTTGAATCTGCCTCACAAAATAAGGAAAAACAAAATCAGTTTGAAGGTGCTCCAAAAATGAGTTCCTTACTTCTGGAAGAAGTACCTTTTGCTTGCAGCTGCCTCAGCAGCAATGCTTCCTATTCAAGTATACTCTAAAGCAGTGTTTTTCAAATTTTTTTTTTTTTTAAATCTCACAGCACCCTTGAACCTACAGTTAAACTTCTGCAACACACTTAAATAAGGTTGATCAAAAAAATAAAAGTTAAAAAAAAAAGAATATACGACTTACTGGGCTTTGAATTTCTTTTGAAAATATTTAATGATCTTTAAAAATTTTTGCAGCACACGGGTTGGAAAAAAATCACTGCTCTAAAGCAAGCAGGGCTACAGATAATGCCAGAAAGAGGCGGAGCATAAATCTAAACTCTAAATAAGAATGTGCATCTTTAAAGTGTCTAAAACCAAAAAAAGAAGTATCTAAAACCCTTAAAGATTTGAGTAAGAATGGGTGCCAGAAACATACCAGATGTTCACGAAGAATGTGCTAAATTGACAAGCCTCATCTATGTTTTTCTTGAGGTTGAAGACAAGACCAATTCTCTTTAAGAACACACTTCCATCCAAAGATGGACATGCAGAGTGAACCTGCACACTGGATTTAAAGGAGCAATCAAGCCCAGACACTTACAGGGGACATTTTCAAATGTTCCCTATTTTACTGAGAAGTTGCTTCTTGGGTGAGAGATCTGACCCTGTTTAAGCCGGTGTAGTTAAGACTAGTGGGTACCTAGTTTTTTGTTTTTTTTTTGAGATAGTTTCACTTTGTCGCCCTTGGTAGAGTGCCATAGCATCATAGCTCACAGCAATCTCAAACTCTTGGGCTCAATCGGTTCTCTTGGCTTACCCTCCCAAGTAACTGGGACTACAGGAGCCTACCACAATGCCTGGCTATTTTTAGAGACAAGGTCTCACTCTGGCTAAGGCTTGTCTCGTACCTGTGAGCTAGGCAATCCACCTGCCTCGGCCTCCCAAGTGCTGGGATTACAGGCTTGAGCCTCCAGGTCTGGGCTGGTACCTAGTTTTCTGACACTATCCTCTATTTGACCCCAAATCTGGGCTGCTTTTTTTCCTTCAGCTCAATAACCTAATATCTAATTCACATTAGCTCCCTTAGCTTGACAATTTGGACCCCAAATAAGACAGCTTCATCAGGGGCTTAGCTGGAAGGCCCAATTCCTCTGTCAATTCCTGGGTAAAGGAAAATGAAAGTGGCAAATGAGTCTTAGAGACACCAAGTCTAGGACTTGCAAATAAGCATCCCTGAGCTGCTGGTAGTCAGGCAGACATATAGATATACTTTTGCTGGGATTGCTACCCCTCTCAAAACTAGCAGGGGAAAGGGAGGTTGCCTTCTATCCCAGTTTTGTGATGTACACCTTAGAAAATTGCTTCTATCTCTCAGCTTATCTAGCAACCTACCTCCCTGTTGACCTGGTTTCATCCTCTGTTGGTATATGGTGGTTTTAAGCTACGTCCATAAATACTGCTCCATTCAGTAGGGGGTATAATTCCTCTTGCGAGAGTAGGCTGAGCTTAGTAGCTTGCCCCTAAAGAGGAAAATAAGTAATAGTGTGCTTTTGAAGATAAGTTCATAAAAGGCACTGCAGCTTTGTCCTTGCCTGCCCTGCCTCTCTAGGATACATGGATCAGGAAGAAGTCAGCCTGCATTGGTGTGAGGACATTAAGCTGCCCTATCCTGCCAACATCCATAAAGGAGAGCCTGGAAGCAGATTCACCAAACATAGATGATGGCATCCCCTGTCCACATCTTGACACGCTAAACTGCTTACTTCCAAATACTTAACCCACAGAAATGGATAATGTTTGTTTTAAGATACTAAATTTGGTAGCTGGGCATTGTGGTGGGCACCTGTAGTCCCAGCTACTCGGGAGGCTGAGGCAAGAGAATCGCCTAAGCCCAGGAGTTGGGAGGT